GGGTAAAGTGTGGGGTTTTAGACTGCCACAAAGCTGCCGACTCGTTATTTTTTTTATTTTATTCCAATGACGTCACGGGACCTTTGACTGTGCGCTTGAGTGTTCGCGGTTAGTCTGCAATGCGGCGTTATTCTATTTTGTGTCTTACCAGGCGGAAGGGCCCATTGAGGCTGTGTAGCTCTTCTTCAAAAACGACCCTGGCTATCGCGAATAATAGCCCAACGAAGTGGACTTATCATCAGCAGCAGCCAAGTAGTGTACTCTAAAACGCGTGGTGAGACACGCAAACTCCGAATATACAGCAGGCGTCCGGATTGGGATCGAATCCACGACCTCCTGTACACCAAGTGAGGTAGTCAACATCTCCCAGCCACCGTGATGATGATGAGAGAGAGACACGCAAGCTCCGAATATACAGCAGGCGTCAGGGTCGGTATCGAACCCACGACCTCCTGTACACCAGGCGAGGTCGTCAACATCTCCCAGCCACCGTGATGATGATGAGAGACGCAAAAACTCCGAATATACAGCAGCAGGCGTCAGGATCGGGATCGAACCCACGACCTCCTGTACACCAGGCGAGGTAGTTAATATCGCTTAGCCACCGTGACGATGATGAGAGAGAGAGACACGCTAACTCCGAATATACAGCAGGTGTTAGGATCGGAATCGAACTCATCACCTCCTGTATACCAGGCGAGGTCGTCAACATCTCCCAGCCACCGTGGCACCTTTAACATCTTAACATGTCGGTGATGATAACAATACGGATGATGATGATGATGGTGGCGGTCCACATTAGTAAAGTTTATTTCGTTAAACACCTGCGTCATCAATACTCCACGGACACTCACAGAACTTCCACAAATTTTTATTCTTAAGACACACTGAGAGTAGACTCGCACAGAGACCCACAGACGACTCGCACAGAAACCCATAGACTACTCACAGAGACCCACAGACGACTCGCACAGAGACCCATAGACTACTCACAGAGACCCATAGACTACTCACAGAGACCCACAGACTACTCGCACAGAGACCCACAGACTACTCGCACAGAGACCCACAGACTACTCGCACAGAGACCCACAGACCACTCGCACAGAGACCCACAGACTACTCGCACAGAGACCCACAGACTACTCGCACAGAGACCCACAGACTACTCGCACAGAGACCCACAGACTACTCGCACAGAGACCCACAGACTCGCACAGAGACCCACAGACTACTCGCACAGAGACCCACAGACCACTCGCACGGAGACCCACAGACTACTCGCACAGAGACCCACAGACTACTCGCACAGAGACCCACAGACTACTCGCACAGAGACCCACAGACTACTCGCACAGAGACCCACAGACTCGCACGGAGACCCACAGACTACTCGCACGGAGACCCACAGACCACTCGCACGGAGACCCACAGACTACTCGCACGGAGACCCACAGACTACTCGCACAGAGACCCACAGACTACTCGCACAGAGACCCACAGACTACTTGCACAGAGACCCACAGACTACTCGCACAGAGACCCACAGACTACTCGCACAGAGACCCACAGACTACTCGCACAGAGACCCACAGACTCGCACAGAGACCCACAACATCGCACAGAGACCCACAGACTCACACAGAGACCCACAGACGACTCGCACAGAGACCCACAGACTCACACAGAGACCCACAGACTCGCTCAGAGACCCACAGACTCGCACAGAGACCCACAGACGACTCGCACAGAGACCCACAAAATCGCACAGAGACCCACAGACTACTCGCTCAGAGACCCACAGACTACTCGCTCAGAGACCCACAGACTACTCGCTCAGAGACCCACAGACTACTCGCTCAGAGACCCACAGACTACTCGCTCAGAGACCCACAGACTACTCGCACAGAGACCCACAGACTACTCGCACAGAGACCCACAGACTACTCGCACAGAGACCCACAGACTACTCGCACAGAGACCCACAGACTACTCGCACAGAGACCCACAGACTACTCACACAGAGACCCACAGACAGGCACAGACCCACAGACTCGCACAGAGACCCACAGACGACTCGCTCAGAGACCCACAGACGACTCGCACAGAGACCCACAGACGACTCGCACAGAGACCCACAGACTCGCACAGAGACCCACAGACGACTCGCACAGAGACCCACAGACGACTCGCACAGAGACCCACAGACGACTCGCACAGAGACCCACAGACGACTCGCACAGAGACCCACAGACTCGCACAGAGACCCACAGACTCGCACAGAGACCCACATACTCGCACAGAGACCCGCAGACTCGCACAGAACCCACAGACTCACACAGAGACCCATAGACTCGCACAGAGACCCACAGACTCTCACAGAGACCCAAAGACTCTCACAGAGACCCACAGACTCGCACAGAGACCTACAGACTCGCACAGAGACCCACAGACTCGCACAGAGACCCAAAGACTCGCACAGAGACCCACAGACTCACACAGAGACCCACAGACTCGCACAGAGACCCACATACTCGCACAGAGATCTACAGACTCGCACAGAGACCCACAGACTCGCACAGAGACCCAAAGACTCGCACAGAGACCCACAAACTCGCACAGAGACCCAAAGACTCGCACAGAGACCCACAGACTCGCACAGAGACCCACAGACTCGCACAGAGACCCACAGACTCGCACAGAGACCCTCAGACTCGCACAGAGACCCACAGACTCGCACAGAGACCCACAGACTCGCACAGAGACCCACAGACTCGCACAGAGACCCACAGACTCGCACAGAGACCCACAGACGACTCGCTCAGAGACCCACAGACTCTAGCATGAGCCGGTTGAGGGGAGTTCATTTCCTCCCCTCCCTCCCCTCCCCCACTGGTTTATCATTAAAGATAAACAGGAGCAACCACATGGTCCCGTGGCTCCGAGGTCAAGCACACACCTGGGTGTCGAGAGGGTTCACAATGGTCGTGCCGGAGACGCGGAGCCGGCAACCCACCCGCTCAGAAAGCCCGGGTTCGTATCCGCACAGGCACAGCCGTTAGACTGGGGCTTCTCATAGACTCACATGGAGGGCCATAGACTCAGAGACCCACTTATTCATATGTAGACCAACAGACTCGCACGGAGACCCGTAGATTCGCACAGAGACCCGTAGACTCGCACGGAGACCCGCAGACTCGCACGGAGACCCGTAGACTCACACAGACCCGTAGACTCGCACGGAGACCCGTAGGCTCGCACGAAGAGCTGTAGGCGCGCATTGATTCACAGACTCCACAGAGACCCACAGACTTACACTGAGACCCACAGACTCGTGCAGAGACCCACAGACTCACACAGAGACCCACAGACTCGCACAGAGACCCACAGACTCGCACAGAGACCCACAGACTCGCACAGAGACCCACAGACTCGCACAGAGACCCACAGACTCGCACAGAGACCCACAGACTCGCACAGAGACCCACAGACTCGCACAGAGACCCACAGACTTACACTGAGACCCACAGACTCGTGCAGAGACCCACAGACTCACACAGAGACCCACAGACTCGCACAGAGACCCACAGACTCGCACAGAGACCCACAGACTCGCACAGAGACCCACAGACTCGCACAGAGACCCACAGACTCGCACAGAGACCCACAGACTCGCACAGAGACCCACAGACTCGCACAGAGACCCACAGACTCGCACAGAGACCCACGGACTCGCACAGAGAGCCACGGACTCGCACAGAGAGCCACGGACTCGCACAGAGACCCACGGACTCGCACAGAGACCCACGGACTCGCACAGAGATCCACGGACTCGCACAGAGACCCACGGACTCGCACAGAGACCCACGGACTCGCACAGAGACCCACGGACTCGCACAGAGACCCACGGACTCGCACAGAGACCCACGGACTCGCACAGAGACCCACGGACTCGCACGGAGACCCACGGACTCGCACGGAGACCCACGGACTCGCACGGAGACCCACGGACTCGCACGGAGACCCACGGACTCGCACGGAGACCCACGGACTCGCACGGAGACCCACGGACTCGCACAGAGACCCACGGACTCGCACAGAGACCCACGGACTCGCACAGAGACCCACGGACTCGCACAGAGACCCACGGACTCGCACAGAGACCCACGGACTCGCACAGAGACCCACGGACTCGCACAGAGACCCACAGATTCGCTCAGAGACCCACAGACACTCGAATAAACCGGTTGAGGGGAGTTCTTTCCTCACCCCCTCCCCCTCCTCCCCCCTATTGGTTTATCATTAAAGATAAACAGGAGCAACCACATGGTCCCGTGGACGCCAGCTGGCTCAGAGGTCAAGCACACACCCCGGTGTCAAGAGGGTTCACATCGGCCGTGCCGGAGACGCGGTGCCGGTAACCCACCCGCTCGGAAAGCCCAGGTTCAAATCCGGGTTTTCAGCCGCACAGACCATGGCGGTTACACCGGGGCTTCTCATAGACTCGCACTGAGGCCCATAGACTCGCGCAGAGAGCCGTAGACTCGCATAGAGACCCGTAGACTCACACAGAAACCCGTAGACTAATATAGAGACCCGTAGACTCACACAGAAACCCACAGGCTTATACATAGAACCACAGGCTTACACAGAGACCCACATATTCTAACTATAGCCCCAACTCTAACCCCCAACTCTAACCCCCAATTCTAACCCCCAACTCTAACCCCCAACTCTAACCCTCGTGTTAACTCTAGCCCTAACTCTAACCCCCAACTTTAACCCCCAACTCTAGCCCCCAACTCTAGCCCTGGACGTGTCGCCCCTACTTCCCCACCTCCCCTTGGGTTCGGGGTGTATTTGTAGATGACAGCCAATCTGGGCGTGTGGCAAGGGGTGGTCTCCCTCCCTCGCCCCTCCTTTCTTCTCCCTCCCTCGCTCAGCTCTCTCTCTCTTCGCTCTCAGCACTCCCTCGTATCCCAGCTCACTCCTCCTCCCTCCTCCTCGCTCTCTCCCGGCGGCCGGCTGAGTGATCCGGCTGAGTGATCCGGCTGAGTGATCCGGCTGAGTGAGCGAGAGCAGCGGTGACGTTACCAAGTCACACGTGTTAGTCCGTGTGGAGTAGCTACAGGTGAGTCTGTGTGTCTGTGGGGTAGATGAGTCTGTGTGTCTGTGGGGTAGATGAGTGTCTGTGTGTCTGTGGGGTAGATGGGTCTGTGTGTCTGTGGGGTAGATCGGTCTGTGTGTCTGTGGGGTAGATGAGCCTCTGTGTGTCTGTGGGGTAGATGAGTCTGTGTGTCTGTGGGGTAGATGAGTCTGTGTGTCTGTGGGGTAGATAAGTCTGTGTGTCTGTGGGGTAGATAAGTCTGTGTGTCTGTGGGGTAGATAAGTCTGTGTGTCTGTGGGGTAGATGAGTCTGTGTGTTTGTGGGGTAGGTGAGTCTGTGTGTCTGTGGGGTAGATGAGTCTCTGTGTCTGTGGGGTAGGTGAGTCTGTGTGTCTGTGGGGTAGATGAGTCTGTGTGTCTGTGGGGTAGATGAGTCTCTGTGTCTGTGGGGTAGGTGAGTCTGTGTGTCTGTGGGGTAGATGAGTCTCTGTGTCTGTGGGGTAGATGAGTCTCTGTGTCTGTGGGGTAGATGAGTCTCTGTGTCTGTGGGGTAGGTAAGTCTGTGTGTCTGTGGGGTAGGTGAGTCTGTGTGTCTGTGGGGTAGATGAGTCTCTGTGTCTGTGGGGTAGATGAGTCTCTGTGTCTGTGGGGTAGATGAGTCTGTGTGTCTGTGGGGTAGATAAGTCTGTGTGTCTGTGGGGTAGATGAGTCTGTGTGTCTGTGGGGTAGATAAGTCTGTGTGTCTGTGGGGTAGATGAGTCTGTGTGTTTGTGGGGTAGGTGAGTCTGTGTGTCTGTGGGGTAGATGAGTCTCTGTGTCTGTGGGGTAGGTGAGTCTGTGTGTCTGTGGGGTAGATGAGTCTCTGTGTCTGTGGGGTAGGTGAGTCTGTGTGTCTGTGGGGTAGGTGAGTCTGTGTGTCTGTGGGGTAGATGAGTCTGTGTGTCTGTGGGGTAGATGAGTCTGTGTGTCTGTGGGGTAGATGAGTCTGTGTGTCTGTGGGGTAGATAAGTCTGTGTGTCTGTGGGGTAGGTGAGTCTTTGTGTCTGTGGGGTAGGTGAGTCTGTGTGTCTGTGGGGTAGGTGAGTCTGTGTGTCTGTGGGGTAGATGAGTCTGTGTGTCTGTGGGGTAGATGAGTCTGTGTGTCTGGGGTAGATGAGTCTGTGTGTCTGTGGGGTAGATGAGTCTCTGTGTCTGTGGGGTAGGTGAGTCTGTGTGTCTGTGGGGTAGATGAGTCTGTGTGTCTGTGGGGTAGATGAGTCTGTGTGTCTGGGGTAGATGAGTCTGTGTGTCTGTGGGGTAGATGAGTCTCTGTGTCTGTGGGGTAGGTGAGTCTGTGTGTCTGTGGGGTAGATAAGTCTGTGTGTCTGTGGGGTAGGGGGCCATCCATTTAGTACGTATGCACGGAGTGGAGAGGGGGGTGGTTAACCCAAATGCGTTCGCCTGCCTATGGGGGGGTCTACTGACAATGTACGCATCTGAAACGTGGCGGGTAGGGGGTGAAGCCTCGATAATAATCTGTCTACATCGGCCTTCAAATGAGCCACAGTTCAGTCTCTTCGGCTGTAGTACTGCCGGGAGAGGTGGCACTGTGGGAGAGGTGTCACTCGTGTGCCCCCGTGACTGCGGCTATCACGCTGCTGTGCTTCAAGCCTGACTTTGCGCGTGCTGACGGAATTCATTGAATTCGTCACCTGTTCGACCGGGTTCAGTCGGCGTTTAAACCTCGCGGACATTAGACTGACTTCTCAAAGGTACGCAACTTAATTCTTTAACGCAGCCGGCCAAACTTAATTTGGAGCTTTCGTGACTGCAGGAATTACTCTTTGGTTCTTTCGGTAAAGAGAAAATAATAAATTAAATATAGAAACACAAATCTAGTATACTTAGAAATGTAATGTAATACAACAGACAGTCGGATAACAAAACAGTCAACACCCTACCTGGTTGATTACGTTCTTCCTGAGAATGCTACATTTGAGAGAGAGATTAAACACAGAACCAGAGACATATAGACAGACATATAAGTAGAGACAGATATCACAGAGATACATAGAGAGAGAGAGACGTACATAGGCACACAGAGAGAAACACATAGAGAAAGACATAGAGAAACACAGAGAGAAACACAGAGAGAAACACAGAGAGAAACACAGAGAGAAACACAGAGAGAAACACAGAGAGAAACACAGAGAGAAACACAGAGAGAAACACAGAGAGAAACACAGAGAGAAAGACATAGAGAAACACAGAGAGAAACACAGAGAGAAACACAGAGAGAAACACAGAGAGAAACACAGAGAGAAACACAGAGAGAAACACAGAGAGAAACACAGAGAGAAACACAGAGAGAAACACAGAGAGAAACACAGAGAGAAAGACATAGAGAAACACAGAGAGAAACACAGAGAGAAACACAGAGAGAAACACAGAGAGAAACACAGAGAGAAACACAGAGAGAAACACAGAGAGAAACACAGAGAGAAACACAGAGAGAAACACAGAGAGAAACACAGAGAGAAACACAGAGAGAAACAGAGAGAAACACAGAGAGAAACACAGAGAGAAACACAGAGAGAAACACAGAGAGAAACACAGAGAGAAACACAGAGAGAAACACAGAGAGAAACACAGAGAGAAACCACGTGTTGTCCACCCACCCCCTCGTGCGCTGTGCCGGCCTTCATAGGTGCTCGCTAATAGCCCTTGCCCTTGGAGTCTGTGAAGGCTATGCGGGGGATGTTTGTCTTTGTTGTGGTTGATGATGCGTGGTATGGTGTGTGTGTGTGTGCGGGTTTGTGTACTCTGGGTATGTGTGGTGTGTGTGTGGACTGTGTATAGTTGTGTTGTATGCGGTGTGTGTGCGGGTTGTATGGAGTGCGGTTGGGTGTGTGTGTGTGGGTTACACGTGTGATTGTGTGGTGTGTGGGTTGTATGGTGTGCGGTTGGGTGTGTGTATTGTGTGTGTGGGTTATATGGTGTGTGTGTGGTTGGGTGTGTGTGTGTGGTTGGGTGTGTGTGTGTGTGTGCGGGTTACACGTGTGATTGTGTGGTGTGTGGGTTGTATGGTGTGCGGCTGGATGTGTGTATTGTGTGTGTGGGTTATATGGTGTGCGGTTGGGTGTGTGTGTGTGGGTTACACGTGTGATTGTGTGATTGTGGGTTGTATGGAGTTCGGCTGGATGTGTGTATTGTGTGTGTGGGTTACACAGCGAGTAGCTGTGTGTGTGTGGATTATATGGTGTGCGGTTGGGTGTGTGTGTGTGGGTTACACGTGTGATTGTGTGATTGTGGGTTGTATGGAGTTCGGCTGGATGTGTGTATTGTGTGTGTGTGGGTTATATGGGGTGTGGTTGTGTGTGTGTGTGCGGGTTACACGTGTGATAGTATGGCATGTGGGTTGTATGGAGTGCAGCTGGATGTGTGTATTGTGTGTGTGGGTTACACAGCGAGTAGCTGTGTGTGTGTGGATTATATGGAGTGCGGTTGGGTGTGTGGTGGTGTGTGTGTGGATTGTATGGTGTGTGTGTGGGTGTGTGGTGGTGTGTGTGTGGATTGTATGGTGTGTGGGTGCGTGTGTGGTGTGTGTGTGGATTGTATGGTGTGTGGGTGCGTGTGTGGTGGTGTGTGTGTGGATTGTATGGTGTGTGGGTTGTATGGTGTGCGGCTGGATGTGTGTATTGTGTGTGTGTGTGGGTTACACAGCGAGTAGCTTGGGGGTGCGTGTGGTGTGTGTGTGTGGATTGTATGGTGTGTGTGTGGGTGGGTGTGTGGTGGTGTGTGTGGGTAGACGGTGTGAATGGTTGAATCAGGTGCTGTAGTTAAAACCACGCTTGGTGTTCTGTTCCCCACAAATAGAACGTTCACCCTGGGGCAGTGCCATAACCACACACACACGCGCACACACACTCACACACACACTAACAACAGCAAAGATAAAGATCCCCCCTGTAGCCTAAACAGACTGTAGGGGCAAGTGCTGTTAGCGAGTGGCAGCACCTATGAAGGCCGGCACGGCACACGAGGGGGTGGGGTGGCCAGCACCACGCCCGGCCGCCTTTGTCTCCCCAGTGGCAATGTTTACACGTGGCACCGGGTACTCGTTTTTTCGCTGAGCCGACCTAGGGGAGCCCCAAGACCGGTTCAGAAAATCGTCACCGGTCGCAGGGTTGGTAGCGCAGTGCAGCGCTAACCGCTGCGCCGCCACTCATAATCCAAGTCATCTGCTGTTGTCGTTTGCGCACGAGCACCACCGACAACAACAACAACTCAACGCGTTCGTCAATAACACCACCGTGTGTGTGTAGCCTTGGAAGGAAAATAAATAAGCAATGGGCGACGTTTCAGGCAATGGTCCTTCTTCAGTGGCCCTCTTCACATCACTTGAAAGAAGGCGTCCGTTGCCCGAAAGGTCACCTATTTTATTTATTCCCTTTTTCATTAATCAGTCGTGTCGATCCGTCGGTGTGCATTTTTTAAAATCCTTTATATTAAGTTCGCTTGCTTGCGTGCTTGCTTGCTTAGGACCGTGCAAATCTTTCGGTCGTTTTTAACCCACTTCCCGTGATCCAATCGAGCTGACATTTTGCACACAGACTCGTTGTGCGTGACAATTTATTGTCGTGAAAAAAAAATTCCCAAATTTTACACTGTTTAGGGAACATTTTTTAAATATTTAATTACCAATTGCTTAATGGTGGCAGACAATCATCTGACCCATAGGTGGCAGCCATCTCAAGCCAGAGGACGAGAGGACTCTAGCCGCCCCGATGCCACGCATATAAAGGATTTATAGTGAAAAACTTTGTTTTTACGGGTTCATTTTTTCGGCAGTTCGCCGGCTAGTTTGTAAAGGGGATCCGTGCTGCATCAGCACAGAGCCACGGTAACGAGATGTTAACTACCTCGCCTGGTGTGCAGGAGGTCGTGGGTTCGATCCCCGACCATGACGCCTGCTGCTGTATATTTGGAGTTTGCGTGTCTCTCATCATCATCATCACGGTGGCTAGGAGATGTTGACTACCTCGCCTGGTGTGCAGGAGGCCGTGGGTTCGATCCCCGACCCTGACGCCTGCTGCTGTGTATTTGAAGTTTGCGTGTCTCTCTCCCCACGGTGGTCGCGTGGAATTTTTCACCGGGTCCTCCGGTTTTTCCCTCCACATTTAGAATGAACGTCAAGGCGTTTAGCGTATTGTGCTGCTGCTATTGTACATTTCTACGTGATGGTGATGATGATGATAAATCCACTTCGTTGAGATATCATTTGCGATAGTCTGGGTCGCTTCTGAAAAGAGCTCCATAGCTCAGTAGGGACTTACACCTGGTACAATAAAAGAGTAGTTTTAGTTTTAGAGCCAGATCGTCGACGTCAAAGTGCTGACGTACGGCAGAGCAGGCAACGGCGGAAGAGAACGCCGCAGGCTGCAGGCACGCAGCTGCGCTGCTGCTGCTGCTGCTGTGGTTGTTGTTGTTTGTGACACTGAACGTGACGAGTTTGTTTGCTGGTGCATCGCTGCTACCACCGCCGCCACCACCACCACCGCCGCCACCACCAATGCTGCCACCAGCATCATCACCACCACCGCCGCTGCCACCGCCACCATCACCAACGCCACCACCACCGCTGCCACCACCACCAATGCCGCCACCACCGCCATCACCACCGCTATCACCGCCGGCACCACCACCACCGATGCCGCCACCACCGCCATCACCACCACCACTACCGCTGCCACCACCGCTGCCACCACCACCGCCATCACCAACGCCACCACCGCTGCCACCACCACCGCCATCCCCACCACCACCACCACGGCTCACAAACTCTGAAGGCAGCAGTAGCAGCACCTTCATCCCTCCCTCCCTCCCCAATCCTTCCCGCCCAATCCCTCCCCCATCCCCGCCTCCCTCCAGACAGATGCAGCTCATTCCTGCAGAGGCTGCCCAGTAGGCAGGGCGGGACAATCGGCTACGGAGTTGGCCTTTGGCAACCAGCCCGTCCTGATATGCAACCGGGACGTGGGGGTGGGCTGAGTCAGCGGGTGATTGAGTGAGTGGATGGGGTGGGTGATTTGGTTGAGTGAGTGGGTGAGCGAATGGGGCAGTGGGTGAGTGAGGGATGTGTGGGCATGTAGGTGAATGAGTCAGTGGTTGGGTGAGTGAATAAGGGAGTGAGTGGATGGGTGAGTGAGTGGTTGGATGAGTGAGTGGGTGGTAGATTTGGGTTGGCGAGTGAGTGAGCGAATGGGGCAGTGGGTGAGGGATGTGTGGGCGAGTGAGTGGTTGGGTGAGTGAATAGTGGAGTGAGTGAGTGAGTGGTTGGGTGAGTGAGTGGTTGGGTGAGTGAATAAGGGAGTGAGTGGGTGGGTGAGTGAGTGGTTGGGTGAGTGAGTGGGTGGTAGATTTGGGTTGACGAGTGAGTGAGCGAATGGGGCAGTAGGTGAGTGAGGGATGTGTGGGCAAGTAGGTGAATGAGTGAGTGGTTGGGTGAGTGAATAAGGGAGTGAGTGGGTGGGTGAGTGAGTGGTTGGGTGAGTGAGTGGGTGGTAGATTTGGGTTGGCGAGTGAGTGAACGAATGGGGCAGTGGGTGAGTGAGGGATGTGTGGGCGAGTAGGTGAATGAGTGAGTGGTTGGGTGAGTGAATAGTGGAGTGAGTGGGTGGGTGAGTGAGTGGTTGGGTGAGTGAGTGGGTGGTAGATTTGGGTTGGCGAGTGAGTGAGCGAATGGGGCAGTGGGTGAGTGAGGGATGTGTGGGCGAGTAGGTGAATGAGTGAGTGGTTGGGTGAGTGAATAGTGGAGTGAGTGGGTGGGTGAGTGAGTGGTTGGGTGAGTGAGTGGGTGGTAGATTTGGGTTGGCGAGTGAGTGAGCAAATGGGGCAGTAGGTGAGTGAGGGATGTGTGGGCGAGTGAGTGAATGAGTGAGTGGTTGGGTGAGTGAATGTTGGAGTGAGTGGGTGGGTGAGTGAGTGGTTGGGTGAGTGAGTGGGTGGTAGATTTGGGTTGGCGAGTGAGTGACCGAATGGGGCAGTAGGCGAGTGAGGGATGTGTGGGCAAGTAGGTGAATGAGTGAGTGGTTGGGTGAGTGAATAAGGGAGTGAGTGGGTGGGTGAGTGAGTGGTTGGGTGAGTGAGTGGGTGGTTATATGGGTGGGCGAGTGAGTAAATGAGTGAGCAAACGGAGCAGTTGGTGAGTGAGTGTTGCGCGAGTGAGTGAATAAGGGAATAAGTGGGTGAGTGGCTGGTTTTCGGGAGTGGGTGGTTATATTGGTGGGTGAGGTGAGTAAGTGAGTGAGCGAATGAGGCAATGGGTGAGTGTGTGGGTAAGTGAGTGAACGAGTGAGTGGTTGGGTGGGTGAGTGAGTAAGGGAGTGAGTGACTGGGTGAGTGCGTGATTGTGTATGTGTGCAAGTATGCACACACAGTGTGTGTACATATGTATGTACTGTAAATTAATCGTGTGTGAATGCGTGCTTGAGTTTAAATGTCTTGGCAACCTTAATAGGTGCTCGCTACTAACCATACTTGCCCGAGCAGTCTGTTAAGGTGGTAGTGTGGTGGTTAGCGCTACGCTGCACTACGAACCTGGCGACCCGAGTTCGATTCCCACTCATGGCCAACACCAGTGACGATTATCTGAACCGGTCCTGGGCCTCCCCATAGGTCGACTCAGCCTCAAATGAGTACCTGGTGCGGTGTGTAGTAAACATCGCCACTGGGGAGACAAAGGCGACCGGGCGTGGTGCTGGCCACCCACCCCCTCGTGTGCCGTGCCGGCCTAAATAGTTGCTCGCACCTCGCTACTAACAGCACTTGCCCCAGCAGTCTGTTGAAGGCTACGTGGGGGATCTTTGTCTTTTGCGTGTGAGAGTGGATCCGTGTTTACGGACAGGATAGCACCGGTTTGGCCATTGTGAACCAAACCCCTTCCTGGCAATGCCGCTCAGAAGCCATCACAAACCCCCCCCCCTCCCTCCCTCATGTGCTATGGGCAGCGGCTGCCAAGTTTGGATGCTTTTGCTGAGCGTGTGGGGGATGAATGTGTGTCTGTGTGTGGGTGGGTGAGTGGGTGGGGGGGTGTGGGTGAGTGGGTGGGGGGGGGTGTGGGTGAGTGGGTGGGGGGGGTGTGGGTGGGTGGGGGGGGTGTGGGTGAGTGGGTGGGGGGGGGTGTGGGTGAGTGGGTGGGGGGGGTGTGGGTGGGTGGGGGGGGTGTGGGTGAGTGGGTGGGGGGGGGTGTGGGTGGGTGGGGGGTGTGGGTGAGTGGGGGTGTGGGTGTGGGTGGGTGGGGGGGTGTGGGTGTGGGTGAGTGGGTGGGGGGGGGTCTGGGTAAGTGGGTTGGGGGGTGTGGGTGAGTGGGTGGGGGGGGGGTGTGGGTGAGTGGGTGGGGGGGGGTGTGGGTGAGTGGATGGGGGGGTGTGGGTGAGTGGGGGTGTGGGTGTGGGTAGGTGGGTGGGGGTGAGTGGGTGGGGGGGTGTGGGTGAGTGGGTGGGGGGGGGTGCGGGTGAGTGGGTGGGAGGGGGGGTGTGGGTGGGGGGGGGGTGTGTGTGAGTGGGTGGGGGGGGGGTGCGGATGAGTGGGTGGGGGTGTGGGTGAGTGGGTGAGTGGGTGGGGGTGGGTGGGGGTGGGTGTGGGTGAGTGGGTGAGTGGGTGGGGGTGGGTGTAGGTGAGTGGGTGAGTGGGTGGGGGGGGGTGCGGGTGAGTGGGTGGGGGTGGGTGTGGGTGAGTGGGGGTGTGGGTGTCGGTGGGTGAGTGGGTGGGGGGGGGTGAGTGGGTGGGGGGGGGTGAGTGGGTGGGGGGGGGTGAGTGGGTGGGGGGGTGTGGGTGAGTGGGTGAGTGGGGGTGAGTGTGGGTGAGTGTGGGTGTGGGGGGGGGGGGGTGTGTTGGTACAGTAGGGGGCACAGGTGGCGCATCAGCCAGTCATCTCGGTCATCTCGGTCAGTCGACCCGTGGCACCTGCTGGGTCTGCCCCGTGACCTCCTGCCAGCGGGCGTTCGACACTTCACGTGGCCTCAAGGTGCACATGGCCTGGCACAAGCGTCGTGGTGACGTCACCGCCACTTAGTGGCAAATGGCGGTTGTTGTTGTTGTTGTTGGGGTGTGTGGGTGAGTGGGTGAGTGGGTGGGTGAGTGGGCGTGTAGGTGAGTGTCGGTGAGTGTCGGTGAGGGGGTGAGTGAGTGTGTGGGTTGAGTCTGGGTGTGGGTGGGTGTGTTTCTGGGGGTGTGGGTGAGTGGGGGTGGGTGAGTGGGTGAGTGAGTGTGTGGGTTGAGTCTGGGTGTCGGTGGGTGTGTTTCCGGGGTGTGTGGGTGTGTGTGGGTGTGTGTGGGTGTGTGTGGGTGTGTGTGGGTGTGTGTGGGTGGGGAGCGGTAGTGTACCGGTTAGCGCGCTGCGCTATGAACCCAACAACAGCCACCAGTGACGGCTATCTGAACCGGTCCTGGGCCTCCCCTAGGTCGACTCAGCCTCAAATGAGTACCTGGTTTGTAAACATTGCCACTTTGGAGACAAAGGCGGCCGGGTGTGGTGGCGGCCACCCACCCCCTCGTGTGCCTTGCCGGCCTTCATAGGTGCTCGCTAACAGCACTTGCCCCTACAGTCTATCAAGGCTACGCGGGGGATCTTTGTCTTTGGTCGTGTGGGCGTGTCTGAGATTTGTGATGACTCCGGTGACAGGTGCTGGAGTAGTAATAACAATAATAATAATTGGTGACGTTTCAGGTGATGCCCCTTCTTCATGACACACAGAGGGGCCCTGTCTGGAGGGAGTCGGGTTTCGGGAGTTGTTCCTTTTCAGTGTTTTGTGAGTCATCCTCGGGTGATGTTGAAACAAAAAGTTAATTTCTCTTGCCGCTCCGTGTCGCCCCTCCCTCCTTGCCCCCCCCCACACCCCCCATCACCCCCCA